TCTTAATAGATTTTTGTCTGGTAGCAGTTAAGAGCACAGGTTCTGGAGTCAGACTGCCTACATTCAAATCCTGGCTCTAATCTTTACTAGCTGTGTGACTCTGGTTAAATTAGATAGCTACTGCATGTCTCAGTTTTTGCATCTGTAAAATGGGAATGGTGACATTTGTGGTATCACTCAGCTGTTTTGAAGATGAAATGAGTTAACACATGTAAAGTAGTACTTAGAAAAGTGCCTCCCAGCTGGGCGTGATAACTCACACCTGTAAACCCAGCACTTTGGGAGGCTGAGGTGCGTGGATTGTGCAATGGCACAATCACAACTCACTGCAGACTCAACCTTCCTGGGCTCAAGCCATCCTCCCCCCTCAGCCTCCTGAGGAGCTGGGACTACAGGTGCATGCCACCATGCCTGGCTAATTTTTGTATTTTTTTGTAGAGATGGGGTTTTGCCATGTTGCCCAAGCTGGTCTCAAAACCCTGGGCTCAAGTAATCTGAATAATCTGCCTGACTCCGCCTCACAAGGTGTTGGGATTACAGGCACTGCCAGTATTCCTCTTTAATTACAGTTCTGTGCTACATAGTGACATTTTGGTCAAGAACAGACTACTTGTACACAGTAGTCTCACAAGATTATAATACGGCATTTTTATGTACCTTTTCTATATTTAGATGCACAAATACCATTGTGTACAATTGCCTGCGTACTCAGTACAGTAACAGGCTGTACAGGTTTGCAACCAAGAGCAATAGGCTCTACCACATAGCCTAGGTGGGTAGTAGGTGATACCATCTATGTTTATGTAAGTGCCCTCTATGATGTTGGCGCAATGATGAAATTACCTAATGACACATTTCTCAGAACATATCCCAGTTGTCAAGCAACACACGGCCGTTTATCCCCAGAAATTAGCTCAGGACTTTGGTGGGCTGTGGCCCACAAAGACCAAGATGTGCCATTGTCTCCCCTTCTTGGTTGTTTATTCATTCAGCGATTCATTCATGAATGATTTTTTTTTTTTTTTTTTGAGACCGAGTCTCGCTCTGTTTCCCAGGCTGGAGTGCAGTGGCACGATCTCAGCTCACTGAAACCTCCACCTCCCAGATTCAAGCGATTCTCCTGCCTCAGCCTCCTGAGTAGCTGGAATTACAGGTGCCTGCCACCACGCCCAACTAATTTTTATATTTTTGGTAGAGATGTGGTTTCACCATATTGGCCAGGATGGTCTTGATCTCTTGAACTCATGATCCACCCACCTCAGCCTCCCAAAGTGCTGGGATCACAGGTGGGAGCCACCGTGCCCAGCCACTCTAATGATTTTAAGAGTCTGTATTTTTTTTCTTTTTCTTTTCTTTTCTTTCTTTTTTTTTTTTTTTTAATACCAAGTCTTGCTCTATTGCGTAGGCTGGAGTGCAATGGCACAATCTCGGCTCACTGCAACCTCCACCTCCCAGGTTCAAGCAATTCTCCACCTCAGCCTCCTGAGTAGCTGGGATTACAGGTGCCAGCCAGCATGCCCAGCGAATTTTTGTATTTTTAATGGAGATGGGGCTTCATCGTATTGGTCAGGCTGGTTTCAAACTCCTGACCTCAGGTGATCCACCCACATCAGCCTCCCAAAGTGCTGGGATTATAGGTGTGAGCCACCATGCCCGGCCAGGAGTCTGTATTTTTATTAAGCCACCCTAAGAGAGAACTGGCTTTCTTTAGTGCACTTACAATACTCTTGACTCAAACTGAACTTGCAGTGGGCTAAATGATGGGTAAGTAAACTCTTCTGTAAAGGGGCAGACAGTAAATATTCTAGGCTTTGCTGTTCCTATGGTCTCTGCTGCAACTGCTCAACTCTGCTGTCATAGCACAAAGGCAGCCACAGACAAAATGTAAAACTTCACTTACAAAAATAGGCAACTGCCTAAATTTGGCTATGAGCGATAGTTTGTCAACTTCTGAACTAAAACATGATATAAATGTGTTATTTTTCCACCGCTCACCTAATGCCTAGTGTTTGCAGTTGGTGGTGGTGGTTCTGTTTTAACACGGTGCAAGTCCTTTCATTTACCTCTATTCAGCTTTATTTTGTTGGTTTGCCCATTCCTCTACCCTGCCAAGATTTTCCTGAGCCCTGAATGTGACACTGTCCAAAGTAACCCCTGTCTCTCTTAACCTTGTGTCATCATCTCCAGTGATAATGTGTATTTTTATATATTTATCCAAGTAATTGATTAAAATTTTGAACTGGAAAGATCTGAGCGCAGAGCCTTAAAGTGTACAACAAACAAACTCCTTCCTTGTAAATTCTGTGTATTGTTCAGGGCTCAGCCCAGTGCCACTTCCTCCAGGAAGCTGTCCTTACAACCACACTCCCTTCCCAAGCTACCCTGTCCAGTCTGAGGAGGCTGCCCTTTGAATGTAGTCCATTCCACCTTCCACATACCTCTACCCTAGCACTACCACTGCCCTGGAATTATCCCTCTTCCCATATTCTGTTCCAGATCATGGCACAGAGTAGATGCTCAACAAATGCTGCTAGAATGAATGAATAAAGGAACTAATGAATGAAAGAATGAATCAATCAATCAATGAATCAGTGAATGAATGTGTGGCTTCCTGTGGGTCCTCCTTATCTTCTTTCATCAAAATTCATCAAAAATTCCTTTTGGGGGACTAGATGCAGTGATTCATGCCTGTTATCCCAGCACTTTTGGAGGCTGAGAGGGAGAATCACTTGATGCCATGAGTTTGAGACCAACCTGGGCAACATAGGAAGATGCCATCTCTACAAAAATTTTTGTAAAATAGCTAGACATGGTGGCAAGCACCTGTAGTCTTAGCTCCTCGGGAGGCTAAGACAGGAGGCTCTCTTGATCCCAGGAGTTTGAGGTTACCATGAGCTACTGCACCACTGCACTTCTGCCTGGACAACAGTGTGAGACCCTATGTCCAAAAAGGAAAGTAATAATTCTTTCTTGTTGCCTTCCTTTGATCAGCAGCTAGGTTACTGGAATTTGATAAACTAACTGGGAAATGGTATAAGTGCAAGATAACAGCTCAACGTATCATCTCTGTCTCTTCCCAGTTGGCCTGAGAGGTTTTGTCTTAGAAGGGTGTCCGATGTCCTTGTCTCAAAAGTCTAAATAACATGGCAATTTTAGGTGCTATAGGAAAGGGGTTTTGGAAAAGGAAGGTGAATACTTTATCATTCCCTTCTAATCATACAGCATCATATTCTCCTTATTAGGCCTTTGCCTAAGAAAACCTGAACACGGATTCCTTGAAGAATATGTATAAATGTTTGTGAGTTATAAATAATATTAATAAATACCTCTGTACCCCAAAGAGTCTTCTAGGCTTGTCCCCAGAGAGTCTCTAACAAAACAACTCATAGCCTCACCTTTAAAACCAATATCATGTTGTTCAATTGCCAGGAAATGCCTGTCTCAAAATCCAGCTCATCTTAAGAATAAATAAAAATAAAGTTGGTATTATATGTTGTCATTGTTAATAAATTACTGAAAATTATTGAGGGTCCCAGTCACACTGGAATTGGGGTAGATGAATCCTGTACCCTGAAGTTCTTGGAGTGACCCAACTCCTATTTGGTTAGAAATTCAATAGGGAGTGTACTTTGTCACTAGCAGTTGAAAACTGAGGGTTAAGACCTGGGATTTATTTCCCAAATACAGCTCACTCAGCTTGAAATATATTCTACTTTTTTTTTTTTTAATTAGAGACAAGGTCTCACTATATTGCCCAAGTTGGTCTCAACCTCCTGGGCTCAAGTGATCCTCCCGCCTTGGCCTCCCAAAGTGCTGGGATTACGGAAATAAGCCACCGCACCTGGCCCAAAATATATTCTACTTTAATCCGAGAAAGGGGTGCAAACTGGTGGCTCCAGGGCCAAGTCAAGGTAGGAGCCATGTACAGTGTTGTCTTCTTTCCTACCTCCCTCCCTCCTTCCTTCCCTTCCTTCCTTTTTTTCTGTTATAAAATTTGAGCTAGAGTTTCTTTCTTTTCTTTTCTTTTTTTTTTTTTTTTTTTTTGAGACTGAGTTTTGCTCTTGTCGCCCAGGCTGGAGTGCAGTGGCGTGACCTCAACTCACTTCAACCTCCGCCTCCCAGGTTCAAGTGATTCTCCTGCCTCAGCCTCCTGAGTAGCTGGGGTTACAAGCACCCACCACCATGCCCAACTAATTTTTTGTGTTTTTAGTAGAGACGGGGTTTCGCCATGCTGGGCAGGCTGGTCTCGAACTCCTGACGTCATGATCTGCCTGCCTTGGCCTCCCAAAGTGCTGGGATTACAGGTGTGAGCCACTGCACCTGGCCTAGATTTACTTTTAGCAGAGCATGCACTCCCCCATTTATCATAGTTTCTTCCAGTCCATGTTGCCTGTCCTATACCCCTTGTCATATTTGAATTGTTTTCCTGGCCCCTGAAGACATTTGAGTTTTAGACCTCTGTATTCAGAACACTGAGCAATTTGTAAAAGGGAGGGATATTTATAATAGTTATTATTTCCGAGCATTTACTATGGACAGGCCGTGCACGAGAGGTACTTTCCACATATTATTTCACATATCCTACAGCTTTTAGGAGGCTAAGAAAGATGAACTAGTCCAGAGCCACAGAGCTGGTAAAGAGCAGAGGCAGGACTGATCAACAGAACCTCTCCAGAGTAAGCCACACTACAACACATGACTGTGTGCTGTTCTGAAACAACTACACCTGGTCCTCTTCTTAAAAATTTAAAGAAATAATTACAGAGGCTTTAATTCAGCAGCAAATTACAACTGGATCTGAAATATAAAACCCAGAAAAGAGAAAAAGCAGAGAAGCCCCAGAACAAAACTGTTAAAAAAAAAAAAAATTACCCACGATGGCAGAAATCCTCATGACAACAAGAGATTTTTCTGGGCTGCTTTTTAAACTAACTGTTTTTGTGTACATGTATATATATATATAATATTTTGTTTAAAATGTTTTTATTTTACTAGATCCTGAGTGGAAAATTTTATGTCTCTCAGGACAGTTTAAACAGAGCATCTAAGCTGAAAGCTGACAGCTGTGTCCTCAGAAACAGAACCAGAACAGGGAAGGGATAGCAGGAAACTGGGAAAATTCTGGAAACCTCTGGAAAATTCCAGGCTCCAGTCAATCTTCAGGGGTGACAGGAACCGTTTTACCCTCTCTCTGGATTCCTAACAGGAGCCAAATGAAGGTGACACAGTAAGTCCCACAAACTACTGATCTTCTATCTTTGGGAAGGGCTGCCTTTTCTGAATTCACATTTATCAGGGCTTGCTGCTGTGCTGGGTGCTGAAATACTGAGGCACAGTCCCTGCCCTCCTGGAGCTTAGAATCTAAAGGCAAAGTCTTTCCCTTTAAATTCCACTTGCTCAATTTCAAACATTTCTGGCAACTATTTTCAAGCATGAAATGTTTTCTAGAACCCTGAGATTGCTGTCAGACATGGACTGTATCCTCCAGTATCTAGATCCCAGGATGCTAGGGACTGAGTTGTCTTCCTTCTCCCTAAATTCACATGTTGAAGCCCTAATCCTACATGCGACTATACTGGAGACAGGGGCTTTAAGGACTAAGGTTAAATGAGGTCATAAGGGTGGGGCCCTAATCCGACAGAGGTGGCACCCATCCAAAAAAAGAAGAGATACTGGAGCTCTCTCTCTCTCCACATGTGCATCCCGAGGAAAGGCCATGCAAGCGCACAGTGGGAAGGCAGCTGTCTGCAAGTCAGGGAGAGAGTCCTCACCAGAACCCAACCACGCTGCACCCAGTCCAGACCCCAGAACTATGAGAAAGTACATTTCTGTTACTTAAGCCGCTAAGTCTTTTGTCCTGTGGTAGCCCAAGCTGATGAATATACAGGAAAACTTCTGGACCATGTGGTATGGATGGAAAGCAAGCTTGCATGTGCAGTGGGGAGCTAGAGAAAGACTCACCTTCCACATGAGGCCGGTGGCTTCTCATCTTCACTCTTGTCTTCTGAACTTGCCAAGTGCATCTGAATTTGAACAGTAAGGCCATTCCACAGGGAGCAAAACCTAGAAGAAAAAGTCAATATAGCACACGTTTTCAATATGCATCAAAACTTGGGTCCTAATCACAGTTAAGCAGGAGAAACCCTCTATGAGGAATTCTAAGATGATTAGTGACCAATAAACTAACCAGGCAGTCTTCCCTAGTTACAGAATCTATGAAGAGGAAAACAAGAAGGCATATGTGTAACCATTCTGCATGTGAAGTTCTATATCTGCGAAGTATTGGTTCCAGAACCTCCTACATATACTAAAATCCTCAAATGCTCAAGTCCTGATATAAAATGATCTAGTGTTTGCATATGACCTGTGCAGATCTTCCTATATACCTTAAATCATCCCTAATTTATAATACCTAATACAATACAATATGTTTTATTATATATTATATAAAGTACCTAATATATAATAATACCTAATACCTTCCTGTTAAAGGAAACTCAGTGTTCCTTAAAAATTTCTCTCACCATCATCTCTCATCATCTTTCTATTATCAATAAGATCATCGGCCAGGCATGGTGGCTCATGCCTGTAATCCCAGCATTTAGGGAGGCCAAGGCAGGTGGATCAACTGAGGTCAGGGGTTCAAAACCAGCCTGACCAACATGATAAAACCCTATCTCTACTAAAACTACAAAATTAGCTGGGCGTGGTGGCGCATGCTTGTAATCCCAGATATTTGGAAGGCTGAGGCAGGAGAATCATTGAACCTGGGAAGCAGAGGTTGCAATAAGTCAAGATCAGATCGAGCCATTGCACTCCAGCCCAGGCAACAAGATTGAAACTCTGTCTCAAAAATAAAAAATAAGATCATAGGTTGGGCACAGCGGCTCATGCCTATAATCCCAGCACTTTTGGAGGCCGAGGTGGGCAGATCTCCTGAGGTCGGGAGTTTGAGACCAGCCTGACCAACATGGAGAAACTCCATCTCTAAAGATACAAAATTAGCTGGGTGTGGTGGCGCATGCCTGTAATCCCAGCTACTCGGGAGGCTGAGGCAGGAAAATAGCTTAAACCTGGGAGGCAGAGGTTGCAGTGAGCCGAGATTGCACCATTGCACTCCAGCCTGGGTAACGAGAGCTAAACTCCATCTAAAAAAAACCAGACAAATAAATAAATAAATAATAAGATAATCAATGGGCTACATAGATACCCATGCACTCTGTGCATAGTAAGTTCTCAATAAATATTTGTTGATAATAATAATATAATAATTTTACTCACACAGTTGCCCTTGACCAATGCCAGCAAGAGCATCATTCAGTTTGAAATTCAGAAATAAAATCTCATGGGATCAACCCTGGATGTCTCCACCAACAGAAGATTCCTGGAAGTTTCGGGATCTTGCTGATATGACCTCTCGGTGCCAAATTCTATCAACCTTGGAGAACGCATCTCCAGAATTTTGTGACTATTTTAAAAAGAACTTTTGTGCTAAGGATTATTAAAAAGGACTTATCTTCCTGTGACATCTCTAGTTCAGTTGGAAACAAAGCAATCACACTCCTGCTAAGCGGACGAGTTGCTCCGGGCCCTGAGCCTGTGGCCGAAAGGGTTTGCTGTTCCCTGCAGGCAAACCCGCTCCATGACTACATGTGCAACTGGAGCCCAAGATAACTGCTCCATCCTGGGAAAGAGCCTTTTTATACCTTTCTGAGAGCCCCGCATAACGCACAATAACATGTTGGATTATTTAACATTACATGTAAAGATCAAGGGAAAAGACGGGTAATGCAATGCTGAGTCTAAATGACAATTGGGAATGAGTAGATCTGTTTGTCTTGGTAGTTGGAGACCTGTTTTCCGCTCCTAATAGTATTAGGTGGCTTAGCCACCTAACCAGTTATCCCCTATTCCATTGGATTCTCCTGTAGCCTTATGCTCTATGTCCAATCTTTTTAAGAATATGCGGCCGGGCGCGGTGGCTCAAACCTGTAATCCCAGCACTTTGGGAGGCCGAGGCGGGTGGATCACGAGGTCAAGAGATCGAGACCATCTTGGTCAACATGGTGAAACCCCATCTCTACTAAAAATACAAAAATCAGCTGGGCATGGTGGTGCTCAGGGGGCTGAGGCAGGAGAATTGCCCGAACCCAGGAGGCGGAGGTTGCGGTGAGCCGAGATCGCGCCATTGCACTCCAGCCTGAGTAACATGAGTGAAACTCCGTCTCA